ATGAGGTTCAACAGTCTGTCAGGATGTAGTGTTTCATGGCAGAAGCTATGACAGAAACCAAAGCTCCAAGCCCCTCCACCATCTGGATTTGAGCCCTACAGACTAGAAATAACAAGTACTGCTTTCTTTCTCTTGGCTAGAAATGCTGTTTAGGAGTCACAAATCTATCCTGAAAGTTGATTTGCAACTAGCGTGCTTCCATGAAGAAAGGTTCTGAGAAGTCAGCATTTTTGACCGACCAGCCAACCAACCTTTCCCTACAATCTGCCAAAACAGACCGTTGGAAGCCTGGTCAGCTATTAAGAGGACCTTAGAGCAGTGAAAAAACCTCTCGGTACCTAGGGAGTACATTGCTACAATAGTCCGCACACAGAAATATAGCAGGTCCCCCCCGCAAAAAAAAACCCACCCCACTCTCACTGCAGTGTCGATGTCTTTGTTACTCTAAAAACCCATAGTCACACATTGCTGCTTAAGGACTCTGTACCTCTGAGAAAGCTTCAGGTCTGCACAAAACACCCAAGTTATGGCAACAAGTCTTGTTTTAATTCTATATAATTTCAGGATGACAACAAGTTGGAGACTTTCTCCTGACAGAGGTCATCAAACAAAACCAAAGACACTTGTTAATTCAACATCCAGGCAAACTTTTGTTAAGACAGATTTATTAAGTCTCTAAATACCAGCATTACCAAGTATTCACCATGAATCAAAAGCACTACGGTCCCTTTCTGTATTACACTTTAAGGTCTATCTTCTCTTAGCCAAAGATACGTATTTTAGCTCGATGTTATTTCTTGAAGTGACAGACTGGCTCTCCAAACACAACCTGAACTGTATACTCCTGGCCTCTAAGGTTCAACAGTTGCCAAGCTGATTTGCCTGTTTATACTCACGGACAGATACCCCGTGGTCTTCTCCAGCTATTTGACCCTTCAGATCTGGGACAGGTTGTGAAAGCTACACTCAGTCATGCACAAAGGTACCAGGAGTATTTTTACACAGGTTTGTGCCACACTACTTCCCATCTCCAGGATACCACTGATCTATTTTGGAATCCTTCCATCTGGCAACGCCTTCTTGAAAGCCTGAAACCTTGATAGTTTAGTCTAATAGCCTATGTTGCTTCAACAGGCATCTGAACTGCGTTTCACTGAGCACCTTTTGTCCAGCCAGCACCGCATCCTGGACATCAGCAGCGGGCGAGCGCGTGACAGTGAGATACATGGAGGTTCTAGGTAAGGGGACCAGATCCAGTTACGGGGATTTTTACCAGCTGTACACTGTGACCAGAATCCAACAAATGGTATTCACTTACTGAGACTCAGAGCTGGCTATTATTCCCCTACTTTTAGGGGATTTTTTCGGATACTATAGAGCACCACTCAAAAACAACAACAAAAAAATCTCTAAGAGGGAGGGAAAAGTGACAGAGAGACACTTGAACATTCAGATCAGTATTACCCATGCTGTGGCTTATTCTGATCTTAACATTCAGCCGAACATTGGATTGGTGGGTCAGGAAAGACGAGGGCAACACTGGAAAAAGAAGAGTCAAAGGAGTACGAACAGAATGGACAGTCTGCAGCCGAGAAGTACAGGAGCACGATTCCAAACCCTGAACTAAGCCAGTACATGTTAATGACTCCTGCTTACGGGGTTACTGGAATCCTGATCCCCAGTATCCAGCTGGGAGATGAGATAACACAAGCATTGGCTGTGAAACAGTGAAGACTTCTCTTTGGCGCTCCTGGCAGAGCTGCAGTCCAAGAACTGAGCCTCACCGCCCTTGAGCCGTTACACATAGCCGGACTTCTCAAGGGTTTGGCGAGCATATATCTGTATAAAACAGACTGCATGCTACCTCCCTCTCAAACTTCTCGTTTGTCCTCCAGCTGAGATTACAGGTATCTTCAGATAACGTTTTAAGCATATATAGTTAGCCCTTACTCAGCAAATAGTGATCGTATCATCGAATCACACGAACAAGGACCTGACCAATCGGAATTTTGTATTTTCAAACTTCTGTAGGACGGCTAGAGGCAGAAACTGATTTTAGGGTGACCTGAAACAGAATTAAAAGTGTCATATACTATTCAGTCTAAAAGTGATCTGAAGCATGTTTAATGTATCAACATTAGCTTCCTCACCTCCCCAAGAGGAATATGTTTGTTAATTATCCTTGCAGATCAAAAGGTCATATGGGAAGTAAATTCTTTTAGAAGAGGAATCTTTAATCTAGCCAACAAAAGAAATTTAACATCCGGTTACCTGAAGTTGGAGAAAGAAGCAAAGTAGATACAAAGCACGTATTTGAACTGTATGATATTTTGAGGAATCTGATTATTTAGAACAGATTTTTTATAGTGGAGACTCTTTGTATCAGGACCTGAACATGGGACTAGTATTTTTGCTCTGCTACCTTTTGCGGTTCCTCATTAAGACTAAGCCAAAGGGAAGCCACGTAAGTTCCTGCACCTCTGAAATAATGTTAGTTACCAGTGTTCGATAGCTTGGCTGAGCAGTCCATTAATTGAGACTGGTCATCTGTTAGCAAATCATAAGGGAGGAAAACAAACTTTAATTCTAATTATGCCTAGCACAGGACTATAAAGAGAAGTCTTTGAGTACATTAAACAGCTGCTGAAACTGATGAGGGGTGGAGGGGTAGTGCCAGAGAGCACTGGGTAGGAGACGGGAACAGCACAGCATGTCATTATGGTGGTCCTTTAGCTAGAGGACAGGCTAGCACCAAGCGAAGCCGTTTAGGGAGCCAGGTGCTGGGCCAGTGCCCAGTTCCACTGCAACTTGTCCTAGAAGAGCTCACCCGTACCGGCAGAGCACCCACAGGAGACTGCAGTTCTTGCAGACATATGAAAGCTGCCGGCAAGTCTAAGAGCTCTGCACTGGTTGTGGTCAGTTCACTTGGTGATGCCATTTTCAGGATAAATAACAACGTCAGGAAGCAAAGGACTGTTAAAAGGCTGCCGCTCCAGCCTGCTCACCTAAAGGGACACTCTTGAGTGCACAGGGTTCCATCCAACTGGTCCTGACACCATATATGTTCTGGGGAATATCCAGCACAGAAAGCTGTGCTAACGGTAAATTAATCAGTGGAGCCCACAACAATGTTGCAGGAAACTGTCTTACAGCTCTGAACCAAGAGTTGGTATTTTTTAAAGACAATAACCTCTGGTTCAGAAGCATTTATGAATCTGCTGGAAATTCCAGGGCGTTATCTGCGCAAAGGAAGCGTGGTTAGATCATCATGATAGTTTAAGCTAAGGGTAGAAACTTGAAAAGAAAAAGGAATGCTTTGTTGATTTTTATGTTTTGAAGCTCCTACCTGATTTAGAGGCATTTATACTCAAATAATCCCTGTGATAAGGGTGAGAAAAACTCATCCACAGTCCTGCAGTACAGCAGAATTAGGTATAGCCCAGCCCTGAGTTAATGATCATCTAATCTGTGTACAAAAAAAACTATTGAGAAGGAGATTCTATTGCTTCAAGGGTAGGGCAGATCTTGTACTCTCAGACTCCAGTGATGTTTCATCAATGTATTTGGTAGAACTGGATTCTTAACCTGCATAATCTTTAACTAGAGTAAGTACTCATTCAAAACTGAAACTAAATAAAACTGTAAATGATAATTGAACATCTAAGCTCAGATTTAACATCTAAGAGCAGATTGCAACCGAACACTATCAATTTGACAGCAAAAGTAAGGCAAAGAAACATGAACAGCTTTATATACACACACAAAGTATCACAGAACTGGTTTGAACTAGGAACCAATTTCCAGGGGCTACGAGCACCTCCAAACGTCCTTTCATTTCCACAGGAACTGTACACACTGTTAACAAATTACTGATGCCACGCAAAGGCCTATATCCAAAAGCTAGCTGGTTCTTTGTCTGAAACTGTCCTCTCCCCACGTCTCAAATAAGAGCAATCGGCAACAAGAGCTTCTGGTTCACAAGAGCTTCTGGTTCCCCAAATTTAGCCAAGCTGCCTTTTATACGCAAAAAAAAAAAAAAAAACAAGAGAGTACCACCAAATGAACACACTATTTTCAGCGCTGAAAGAGTAATAATTTTCTTAAGAAACTCAGAGATGTGATACAAAAGAAACAAGACTGAGTCCACATACAAAATTACAGGCTGATGTTATGTTTAACTTCTTATATTAAAGCCACAGATGACGTTTAGTATGAATCATGTTAAAAAAATAAGTTTCAAGAAAGCTTTACTATGAAACTGAAATGAAATTTGGTGAAGTTTAAAAAATTTCATAGCTTTAGCTACTGTGAAAATGTTACTTTACTTGAAATGCATTCAGAATTTCAAATTCCTGACATACAAAGTCTTCAAACCTTAAGTAGTCTCCTATAGCTACAGCTGTTCTCAGAGATGAAGTATCAGCCCTCATAGCAAAGAAAAAAAAAATCCCTTCTCCGCTTTTTTTTTTCTTTTCTCTTTTTACATAAAGGATGAGAAGTGCTCCCAAAAGAAAGTCAATTTACAATTTTACAAAGTTACTACAGAAGAAAACGTACATTCCTTTCTTTCCTTGTGCCTATACTATATTTAAGCAAGACTGTGCCTAAATTCAGAGAATGCTTGATGTTTTAACTGCACAAGCATTAAGTGTTGTCATATTTATCACTGAAGAGTCCGACGGCATACTTCAACGGCATCCATCTTCACATTATGAGATGGGAAGCAGTCGTTCAGCTGCATTCAGACTGTTGCTTGCTTGCACCACGGTTTAATTGCATTTAACCCGGAACCCAGTGAGAACTCACCCTGACCTTCCATGTTTCCCTGAAAAAGCTTTTCTACATTTTTATATAAACCAACACGCAGGATGAACAGCTCTTCAGTTCTTTCACTGACTATAAAAAGCAGGTTTTCTTTAAATCGATAGCTTAATAGTTACGTTAAATACAGCTTCTGCCTCATTTCTTGCTTGTAATTTAATGTAATGCTTCTTGATACCTCAGTCATCATCTTGATGATTTCTTTTCTGTCAACGGAACAGGAGAGTTCACAATGTTAGGACACAGTTATCTGAAGTAAGAGCACTAATAAATCACGACAAGTGATTCCAGATACAATGGATATTAGACCATGACTGCAATTCTAAGCCATTTTTGAACGGTGAGAGATAATGGAACAGCAATATCAACCCTCTCCCCCACCCCAAACTATAGGATTTCATTTCCAGTAAAGAACGAGATTCATCCCATACATTAACCAACAGAATATACAAGAACCAGAAAACATGATGGTCGCAGAAGTCAGCGGTCAATAAGGCAACCTGCCCTCCCTTCCCCAGCTTACAAAGGTGTCATGTTTTCATGCTGCTATTCATCAAAGGAGCAAAGAAATTGCATTGAAAAAGGAACAAGTATTTAAGTTTTTTTCCTAATATATTGATCTTCTAACCTTTAAAGTAGTTCCTAAAAGCACTGGCTTCAGCCACTCAAAAACCACATTTCCATTTATACTACATTAGTATTTACATTTAAAAAAGAAAGAAAACAGCTAGGACCTTCAGTAAGATTTGCCAAACAACACTCATTGCTTCCTATAAAGACAAAATTAATTAACTGAAATGAGATTAGCATGAAAGCTTGCTCCTCAGCACTTAAAAAGTTCAGCCCAACAATACACTGTATGATGGCTCCATACATTACTTTTTTCTGTAATTATGTAACCTATGTTAATTACAAAAGCACAATTCCAGGCACTTTGATGTTGCCATTTCACAAAGATGGAGGGTCAGAAATTTTTTTCACTCCTTCTTACCAGTTTAAGAAAGTCAATCAATTTGTGAACATCCTCTCCTGTAGAAAGGTCCACAAAATCCTTCGGCAGTCGGTAACTCAGGTACGGACTAGGCTGGACGGTAACTTTACTGTTTGTACAACGGAAAACGGGACAGTCCTTTGGAAAAGACATTGGATAAGACAAGAGCAGTGTACATGAATAAAGCTAGCCAAGTTTCTTGAACTCCTCCATGAGGTTGTCTGAGTCACTTTGCCAATGAGATCATTTGACATTCATTCAACTAAACCTGCGCTTTCTAAAAATTGTAGCTTCCTTATTAAAAACTCTGCCCACTTAAAAGCAAAAGTCAAAACGTTAATAACAGTCAAATAAAGGCATTCATTCCCTCGCTTTAAAGTTTCTATAGAGTACCAATTATTAATGCATTTAATATATATACACTTATAACAGTGCTGTAATAATGGAGCTATAATAAACCTCGGGCAATAATATCTACGTAAGTATGTGGATAAAGAAAATGTTTATGACAGAATCCCTAAACTTGTCTTCACAACTTCCTTGTTTAAACCACGTTTGCAAATATAACCTGACTGAGATCATGATCTAAACTTTCCAACCAATGTACTTACTGAAGGAAAAAACGTCTCTACAAAATATCCAAAAAATCTCTCTGAATGCCAAAACATAGCAACAGGTTTTGGGTAACTTGATATAATTTTCAGTTCAGCTTACTGACATGCAATGTAACTGCCCACTGTATGGCAACAAGCAGCTTCATTTCAAAGACAAAAATTGAGTAACTTCACACCAGATTCTGTGATCAGATGTAAGCTGAACCATGAAGACAAGTCATTCTACTTTTCATCCAGTGTTACACTGGAGAAAACTGT